AATTTAATTTAATTCTTTTTTTTTTTTAAATAGATTCACTCCAAGCAAGCAAGAGGTTCCTTGGTGTGAAAGAGAATGGAAAAAGACTTTAGAAAAAACCGTAAAACCCAATCCTAAACAGGGAACAAGGAATAAACCTTCATTTTCATTTAAGAGAAAAAATAATTTATAGAAATATGAACATTTAGGAAATATTCAACAAGGGAATCTGAAGAATTCTCCTCCCGACCAATAATCTCTTCCCCATAAAAAAAAAAACAAACAAATTCTTCGGTCAAATTTCGGGAAGTGGTTCCTGCCGAGCATTTTTCAGCACCTTAAAGTATTACCTAATCTCTTATGTAGGGAAGGTCCTACGCTAAACTTGATTTCGATTTCTCTAATGGTTTGTGCTTGTTAAAGACCAGACAGAGTCATTTTTCATTAATCTTCAGATAGAAACATTTTTCAAATGTCTTTATCAAAAATGTCGTATTTTTCATTAGACTGTCAAAGAACAAGAATTTGATGTGAATTCCCGCGATAGGCAACTAAATAGAACGATTAAGAAAAGTTTCAGAAAAAAAAAAACTACTTCTTCTCTCTCTTACTTTGAAAGATAATATACCTGTCTGATTGTTGGCACGTCCACATAGAAAATATATTAAATCACACGATCTCTCACATACAAACACGCACATACACCCACACAAATACAAACACACAAGTAGGAGAATCATTTTAGGAGTTGGTAAAGGCTTGAGTTGGAAATGCTTACATTCGCGTTGATGTTTCCCTTCAAATAATTTTACAAAAGTTAGTTTAATATCATCATCATCATCATCATCATCATCATCATGTAATATTTCAGTAGTCTTTTCTTTGTTTCTAACGAAATGTTTCTTTTTTCTTAATCTCTGCTTAGCTTTTGCAATGCATCTTTGATCATCTAACTGCGCCTTCGTATTTCAGTGCAAACTTATACTTAACATCAGGAACTAAGAGTTGAAATATCAAGAGCACATAATGAGGAAAAAGGGCTTGGAAAATTTGATACTCACAGGACATACTGAAAGCAAGAGGGAAAGAGGAAAAATGTATCATCTACTTAGTGAACTTGAGTAAATGGATGGCGGAACAAGTTTTAAGAGAGATAACAAAAAGACAAAATTTATTAAGAGCTACAAACGAAGGGGAAATGGTTGAGAGCCATAATCGTCAACGTCTCGAAGGGATAAAATACATAGAAAAGGAGAGTAAAATCTATAGTTAATTCCCTCTTCAAAAAAAAAAAAGAAAAAAAGAAAAGAAAAAGAAAAAAAAACAAACAAACAAGCACACAAGAGTGGACGTGACCAAGGAAGGAGAATCCCTAAAAACGATAAGTTTAAAAAGAATTTCCTATTCTAATTGTCGTAACTATATGTTGAAGATGGTATATAAATTTAAACTGCTTCTATAACAGTAAGAAACTTAATTAATACTAAACAAAATAATAAATACCTAAAACCTGAAGCAAGAATTTACTCTATAGTCTGTAATGTTGCTACAAGTAATACATAGGAAAGACTTCATGGAATTTAAATAAAAGATTATATGAACACAAAAGAGATAATTTGCAAAACAACACACAATGTATAAGTCGCTCACCGTAATGAGCCTGACCATAATTACAATTAAAAACAATCCCACTTTAATTAAAATAGAAAGCAATTTACTATGGCGAAAATGCATAGAAAATACTTTGATTACTAAACCATCCGTAATATTTGCGTCCAACTTTTGACCTTTCTTGGCAGATCTTCTGTTATCACAATGTAGGGTGCATAAAAACAAAACCGATGAAAGAATGAAAACGATGAAATGAAAATAAAGTTAATAAAGATACATTATACTACCTACCAACTTTATCATAGATATAATTAAAAAGAATTTCTCTAAACTTAATATCAAATTTGTTACAACTACTTCACAATTTCCTGTCCTTTTGTCTTTTTGCCATATCTCCCAAACCCTACTATCAGCCATCCGTTCGCTCAAGCTCATCAGGTAGGTCGTGCGTTGCATTTCTCTGACTGTCTTACCTTCAGTCTGTCCTGTGAGTATCAAATTTTCCTCATTATGTGCCCCAGAAATTTCAACTGTCATGAAACATATTACTGTAGATTAATAGCAAATTCACTGATTTTATTGCGGGTTGGGAATAGTGCGCCTACCTGAAAGAAGCTTGACAGTTGACACAAATTCATTTCGCTGGAAAATAACCTTTTTAGCTTCAACATTCAAGAATGACGCAAAAAATAAGTTTGCAGTTGAACCCATGAAAACATTAAAGTTCCTTCAGTTTTGTAGTCACTGTGAACACTTAGAGGTCTTAGAGTCTATTTATACGGCCTAAACAGCTATAACAGGATGTTATAAGTTTTCTATTGGGTTTAATTCGTTCTTTTTTAATATTTGAATTATTATATGCCTGTAAATGTTGCAATACTTACGGGTTATAAGTGTGTAGAAAAATATGAAGTATTCTTTTTGGAAAAAAAAGAAGAAAGAAAAATAAAAAGAAAGGAAAGAAAAGCAGTGAAAGAAAGAAGAAAAAAAGAAGAAAGAAAACCGTGTCAATATGCGTGTCATGATAAAAGTTATGCGGGGTGCGGCAGATATACCTCCCACATATACCTCCCACATATACCTCCCAGAAGGCATTAGTAGCAATAGAGTATTTATCTAGCAAGGAGTTAACCATTAGCCAATGAGGGTTTATTGAGGCGTGGTTAACGCCCCTGTGCTGTAAGTGAGGCTATCATTCTACTCGTTTTAGATGGGAGAATTTGATCAGCCCCGGGGATTCCAACCCTACACCAACAACTTCCTCATCGGACTAAAGAGTTTAGGTTGGTATATTGCCGATGCCAGCATGACAGTGGTCGCGGGGGCTGGGCAAAAATCATTTTTTGTTCTTGACCCATATGCATAAGTAGGTGTTTGGCGTTCCCCAAGTTAAAATGACCTTGTGTCACATCCAGCCTTGGTTGGGAGGCCGGATAAATATTACTTACCATAATGTAGGTGATATTTCTGGGAGATATACGTGGGAGGTATATCTGCCTCACCCTGTATTTCTGAGTGCTGACAGTCTTCGATATTTGAATTCTTTCCTTACTCGAAAAAACAAAAAAAAACAAAAAAAACTGACACCTTAAAAATTGATTGAAGAAGTATTGAAATAAAACTTCATCTAATGTATATCGAAGATTTTACTCGTTTAATGAAATTACTGTGTTGATAATTGAAAATACGAGATGACAATTCTCTTCTCTCATATTTAGCATTATATTTGAGTAAACTCCGGACTTCGGGAATTCCCTTCGGCCAGCCCCGAAGCCTTCACCCAACCTTATGCGATGCCCGAGATTGACTGCTCTTTTACCGCTGAGCTGAGTATTTATATATCGATCTATGTCATTCCACACGTTCTTCCCATAATCAGTTGGCCCGACACATGTTCGCCTGCAGAGGTCATAAACTGACATCGGGTGGATCACAGAGCTGGCCTCAAGCCAACCTTATATCTGGCTTTTCTGAAAGACACTCAGTGCAAAGTCTACTCTGCATGATCTGAGATGAGCCATATACTACACTAGTATAAATTATTGGGTTGGTGCATAATTATCAGGCGTTTTTGTAGGAGTTATTTGTTAATAAAAATTACTGTTTTGTTTACTTTTTTAATAAAAATATTATTTTATTTTCAAGTTATAAAAATGCGTGTCGATAATCATACGCTCCGGAATAATCATTTAGAAATGTTATTGTTAAATAGTTATGTTTTTTTTTATAATAGTCAGTTCAGTTATGTGCCATGCATGATAAACGCTTAGGCGATCATATATTTTTCGATACATGACTGACGAGGCAGATTTTTTCCCGCAGTAGGTTGCCATTTCTTTCTGCGGTAGACCAGTTACCATCCAAGGCTGCAGAACCCGGCCTGCCTGCTATTTACCCATAGCTAGGGAGAGAAGAAAAGGATTTATACCTTTCCCAAGGGTATTAGCACGTAAGTGAATGGATTCGACTCAATCCGAGCCGCTATCCATTACTCCATGGTGTCGCCTTTTCATAATAAACATTGTTTAAAAAACGCCTGGTAATTATGCACCAACCCAATAGTAACTGAAGGGAATGGTTAAACCAGTTCCTCTTATTTTAATCAGATTTTCACATCTATATTTTAATGAAGCTCACCAGCCAAGCATTTCAGATGAAATATCAGACTTCTCGGTCAGCAGTCTACTTTCATAATCAGAAAAAAAAAACAATAATTCGAAATTAAATGAAGACCCCCCCGCAAAAAAAAACCCAAACCAAAAACAAACAAAAAAAAAAAAGAAAGAAAAAGAAAAGGAAAGCGAAAAGGAATGAAGTTAAAAAAAGGAAAGACGGTGAGAAAAATTAATAAAAATTACCATACGTGGTACCATATTTTTCCCCTTTCCTCTTTGAATTTCTCGAATTGTCGCTGCTCCATTTTTTTTTTATTACAGCTGTTTAGCACCCATTCATACAGTCTCCTGACAACTGAATGTCTTCACCATTTGGCACAAATACCATCACCTACTCGTCGACAAGAATTGTACGCAAAATTGTAGCGGTGTATCTACAGAAACACCCCAGCAGTATAAGTAATTATAATAAGTATATCCCCAATAATCACAGTGGAAGGCAAATTGAATCTATTAAAACGTTTTGAGGCAAAGTTTTGCTCTGCGGTAAATTAGTGGTAACGATTACTGTTCACCTGAAACCAAACATTGGGCCTCAGATCTTTCAAGAATTCGCAGTACAGATTCAAAGCATCATAGATTTTAGAAGATAGACGAACAATCAGAAAATGGTCTCCTAGATTGCAAAACAATTAAATGGCGCATCATCAACTCTACTTTAATAATTTAAAAAATATAAATGAAAGCCGTGGTGATATCATTGAAGGGTGCACATTGATACCCAAATGTTTGGGTTTACGGTCATATCACATTGAAACACCGGGTCTCGTACGATCATTGAAGTTAAGGAACGTTGAGCCTGGTCAATACCTAGATGGGTAAGCGCTTAGGACTACCAGGTTCTGTAAGTTTGGATGTGCGAGTGGCGTAATGGATAACGGCTCGGAATTGGAAGTCAGAGAACCGAGTTCTAATTTCGCTTGGGGTCATTATATTCACTTACGCGCAAATAGCCTTGGGAAAGGTATGAATCCATCTTTTCTCCTCCCAGCTATGGGTTAATAAGTAGGACGATTTAGTAAAACTTTATTATCTAAAAAATAAATTATTACAATTTAAAAAAAAATATTTACTGACTTTAAATTAACCTAGAAACGGTTGACAAGCCGTAAAAAACCCCCCAAAACAAACAAACAAATCAATGAAACTAAATGTTCAGTGAAATTTAACGGCGGCCTTGAAATGAATGTTAGAATTGGCTTTTGCTACTTTTCTAAGCAGTAGCTAATATCCAGTTTCCAGGGAAATTAGATATTAGAGTAAGTAATATTTTTCATGGTATATTCCCTGAACCTTTGGGTAGGAGCTCCTAATTACAGGTACTTATTCAGGATACCTACTGTAGAACGATGTTTGATCGATAGATAATAATGATGTCTCCTCGTTTCAAAAATCAAAAAACAGTTACATCAACCATTACGTGGTTCTGTTATCACTGGTTTTAAGTATTCTTCATCAGCTACAATATGGACATTTTTATATTAAATTTTGCCCAATGCCAGATTCGAGAGCCATTCAATGTAGCGGGCTACAGTCAAAATGGTAATTTTGAATGAGGTATGTGATATAATTGAAAGAGCAAGTGACAGGAAGGGAAGATTATAAGGATAAGGGATAATGATTGACCCTTGATTTGAAGAGGTTAAGATTGCTGTGTTCAGGGAAGCACACACATGGGAGTTTATTCTACAAAGTGGCAATTCTTATCCGAGTAGAACTTTCTCCTTGTGTTTGGAAAACGGGGGAAATGAGGGTAATTCGACTCCGTGGAAGTGGCATCGTGTGTTCTAGCTCCAAACGTCTCAACTAGTGCAACTAAACCTCATCTAAACATTTGCCATAGAAATAGAGTATCGAAAAGCTTGCAACATTGCACCTGTGGGAAGTCAGTCTTCCCTCACAAGACTGTGTAAATGATTGTATACTCTAGTAAATTAAATACCCTAGTAAATAAGGGAAACGATAATCGGTTGATTCGCCGATTTTACAACACGTCAACTCTTGTTGGCCAATCAGACAAGCTCGATAACCATTACCCCACACTGTTTATGTTATTTTTTAATCGTTTCATCCCAAAGCAAGGCAACGACGCCACTAAGACGCAAGGGATTAATAAAGCGTGGGAGAATATGAGAAAAAATTTTTCAGGAGAGAGATCAATAAAAGACCAGGAATTAAGAATACAGAAGATAACGATTGAAATTGCATTTAAATCTTTGAAGATTAAAGTTAACTTGAAAGCAGGAAGCCGGAAGAGAGTTCTACAAACGAGAAGTGTGAGAGAAGAAACTGTTAACATAGAACTTACGGTTACATCTAGCGATTTCAAATGCAAAATAATGAGACCTTGCCGCCAATCAAGTACTGCGCTTAAATTCATAAAGTTTAAGTATCATAGAGGAAAGTTCATCAGAACAACTACCATGAAAATGTTTATAGAAAAACCACAGGGAAACCACGTTACGATGGTGGGAAAGTTACTGAAACCGAGATGTTAGGACCAATAGCATATTAATGCTATTAAATTACATCCGTAATGCTATTTACATGGTTCGGACTGTTATCCTCATCTTTATTGTCATATTCACAACGTCGGAGGCTTCAGGTGATATACCTTGGAATTTCGAACCCGAACCTTTATTTAGTCCACTGGGGTAGATTGTTCTCCTTCCACGTGCCATGCCTTTTCTGGATATTTCCGTTTCAGTTATTTCCCTTTCCAAGTTTTTGTTCACCTCTGCTGTGGTCAGGTACTGAACTCGCAAATCTTTGGGTCAAGTCACTCGATTACTTCAACGCTTTTATCCACTGGGACATGTATCCTTGGGGTCAATAAAGATGAGGACAACAGTCCGAATAATGTAAATAATGTAAATAGTTACAATACGCCATCTAAGAAATATAGACAGATCTGTAATGTTATTAAAATTAAATCTGTAATCTTAATATCATCAGTAACATTACAGATGTTATTTAATAATATTACAGATGCCAGTTGATGATAATGCCTTGTTTATCTGACACATTATGTAGACTTAAGTTTTGTAACTGTTGTAACGTAGGGGAGGTTACTGAATGGAATAATCACACGAAGGTTGGTAATGAACGATAATACTTAGGACAAGAACAACACATATAAGATTTGCCAGCGGCGCGAAGAAGTAGTAGTCAACTGCTAGAAGTGAGTCAAGTGAATTCCGCAATGAATCTTCAGCTGCAGGATATCTACCAACCGTCACACCCAGTCAGATGTGCCACAAGGCCAAATTTAATGCGGTGTATCCGAATGCGTAGGCTCGGCCAAAAATTCACCGTAAACTTTCGACATAGCCTCGTCTGGGGATCCTCTTTGCCCGGAGGCAGACAGTTTAAGTAGTACAGCTGGAGACGAATCTCTAACTGCAGACCAACATACAGTATTTACTACTGTATTTATGTGAATGGGGACATACCCATTATCGTCAGTAGCTATGCTACAACAGTACGATGCATAATTTCTTCATTAAAGAATTATAGAAACTTTAAAGTATCTTTCCTTTAAAAAGCTTTAACAATTTTGCTTTGTATATTTCAACAATACGAAGAAAAGATATTTACGAAAGTTTAATTACATGAAATGGGAATCAAAAAGTGTGTCATTTGGATATGAAAAAAATTACATAATATAAGTCTTAGTTTTTATTGTCCTTTTCGAATTAACTTCCCTGCGCGTGTGTACAACGAACTGACAAAGAGTATTGTACACAAAAGCTGACATCAAACTATTGGGTAACCTCTGGCACAGAGGGGTAAAACGAAAGCAGATATAACAAAAAAGTATAAAACACATTTGATGTGGCTGACAAAATTCTCAAATATAAGTATTCAATAACTGTTGTTCTCTTTTTTTGAAAATGTAAAAAAAAATATCTTTCGTTTTCGTGAAATTTGCCGCTTCTTTTCTCAAGTGTCATTATTCTATTTATAGTACAGTTACTGGCAAAATGTTTCAGCAAAGGCCATGATTATTCTGTTTATGGAATTATTGTCTGATATACTAGAACAAAGTATTATAAAAGACAGAAAAAGCAAATTATAAAAACATTGTTATTCCAATCATGATACTATTGTCTGATATAATTCAGCAAAATACTAGAAAAAGCAAATTATGGAAGCATTGTTATTCCAATAATGATACTATTGTCTGATATAATTCAGCAAAATATTAGAAAAGGCAAATTATAAAAGCATTATTATTCCAGTCATGATACTATTATATGATATAATTCAGCAAAATATTAGAAAAGGGTATTGTTATTCCAATCATGATACTATTGTCTGATATAATTCAGCAAAATATTAGAAAAGGCAAATTATAAAAACATTATTATTCTAATCATGATACTATTATATGATATAATTCAGCAAAATATTAGAAAAAGGCACTATTATTCCAATCATGATACTATTGTCTGATATAATTCAGCAAAATATTAGAAAAAGCAAATTATAAAAACATTGTTATTCCAATTGATACTATTAACTGATATAATTCAGCAAAATATTAGAAAAAGAATATTATAAAAGGCATTGCTGTTCTAAACATGATACTATTGTCTGACATATTTCAGCAAAATATTAGAATAAACATTGGTATTCCAGTCATGACACTTTTGACTGATGCAATACATCAATATATTTATAAAAACAAATGTGTGTACGATATTTGATGCATTTAATCTTTTTTCTTTGTTTTCTGCTTCCATTGTGAAGCTACGCCATCTGTAAATCAACGCGATGGGAAATACAGGCAATTATCAATGTTTCCCCGCTGGACACATTCTTAAGCTTCCAAATCTTTACATAATTTATCACCCGACTAGCGATTACTCATTTGTATGAAAACACTTCAAAGCTAATTTGTAAACCAAATTATCCCTGGGTAAACAATCAGGCATACCCTACTTTTCACAAAAATACACATTTAATCAATCTAGATTGCCCTTTTTAGAATTTAAAAATATTCAGCTCTGTTTATAGCAATTTCCGCTGATAGAAATCTTGTGATTACATGCCTTCAAACAATCTAAAACAATTAAAGATACAGTTCCTCCAAAAGTTAACACTTAAATGCACGTGAAATGATACATAAGCGAGAACAAAACGCCCAAAAGCATAAAATTAACATCTTTGTTTGAAATCATTTATCTAACTATATTAGGCTATATCAAATGGTTCCATATTTTGTGCTGCAGTTCTGACGCATAGAATGTATATATATATATATATATATATATATATATATATATATATATATATATATATATATATATATATATATATATATATTCTAAATGTATATACCTGTCCTTGGAGCATATTTTGGGGAAAGTATATATTTGTGCATTCTCTGGGAGAAATTCTCTAGAGACATTTTCGCTTTACTTCCCTAGCATCACACACACACACACACACACACACACACACACACACACACACACACACACACACACACACACACACACACACACACTCTCTCTCTCTCTCTCTATCTATCTATATCAGAAAAGAGCAACTAGATGAACAAATAATAAGGTTACTCTCAAGAACAATTTAAACATTTTTGCACCTGTTTATTTTAAAAGTTATTATGGCTATTATAAAGTAGAGAGTGTCACATCAACAACGCGACATTGAAGAACAATTCTTCTTCTTATTATTATTATTAGTAGTAGTAGTACTAGTAGTAGTAATAGTAATAGTATTGAGTTAGGAGCAATGCCCTAATAAAGTAACGCTCTGATACAAATATACGAAGCCCGATATACCCATCATGACATCCAGTCTGATAAGGGTATACCAGGCAGA